ACCACGAACTTTTGGAATGAGTTTTTCTCTTTTGCAGTCCATATCTCTTTCGGTCGTCGATTCTGAGCGCTCCGAATGCTTTTTCCCTGCCTTTTTTATATATTTCTCTTTTTGCAGACGGTTCTCAGTTGCGCCACAAGTATGACACTCGTGCTAATTCCAAAAGGTTGAAAGTGACAGACACCAGCACTGCAACCGAGGCTAATGGCAATGTTACATCCAATAGTCAAGTTGAGTGTTCGGAACCGTAAAAAATTAGCCAAAACGATGAGATGTTTGTCAACCTTCAGACTGCACCAGGTGGTCGGGGTGCTGATCCTGGACTTGAAGATGAACATGTGTCTCCTCAAGGGAACACCCTCGAGGACGCTGAAAATATGTTTGTAGACGAGGGGCGTCCTGATTCTCGTGTGAAAGGGGATAGTTGTCAGGGGGATCGGTCGGGTGATGTTGGTAAAGTTGTGTTAAGTGATGATAAAGAAGAGACCTCCAGTGATGGCTCCGGTGACCGTGTTCAACCTACATTCAAAAGAAGGAGCAGTCGAGCTGTGAAAAAAAATATTTTGGCTTCTTCCGATAACCTTGAGCCCACCCTTCGTGATCGTCGAGTGACTGACAAAGTTGTTAGTCATGAAACTGCGACTCAGGTTCTGAGATCACTACGCACGATCCCTACTGATGTGCTTTTGAACTATGATCATGATCCGTGTTTGAAGTTCCCACGTCGTGAAGGTGGAGCGATTGCTTGTGCCCCGTCCCAAACACGAAATTGTGCGACAGTTGTTGATGTGCCCGATGATAGCAATCGCCCATCGCCGGTTGCGTCTATTCCTCATCCACGCGCTTACGTCTCTCAACGGTTTGATGATGCAAAGAAGGTTGGTTTGCGAAAGATGTTGAATGAGATCTTTTTCGAAATGTTTGTGAAGACTGCGACGGTCATGAAGGATGAATGGATATGGCAAAAATTCCTTGATTGGCAGAGAACTAAACTCACTGATATGCGTTTGGAACGAAAATCCTCTCTGCCCTCCAATATGTTGAATATTTCGGATGTGGAGTCCAGCTGGATGTTCCAATCCCTTCTGCACGATGTGTACATTGCGCTCAACAATGAAGAGATTGCAAGAATGACATTTCATTTGCCCTATTGTCTGACGGATGGTACTGTTCCAGGTGCCTTTTTTAGATATGCTCGCATACAAAGTCTCATCAAAAAAATTCCTTTCGGTGTTCCTTCTTCCGCTCCTCCTCCCGCTACTGTCCGTCCGCTGTCATTACCGGCACCGTCTCCTACGAATTTTCAACGCCTTGCAAATTACGCTTCGCCGTCCAATGTGGCGATGCCCGTCGTCACTGCTTCTACGGTTGTTTCCGTTTCGCCTGCCGCTATGTTTGCTCCATCTCCTACTGCTTGCGTTGTCCCCACTCCTGTGTCGCCAGCTGCACAACTGCATGTCCGTGTAGGAGGTTTGCCAGAAGTAGCTGCTCCTCCTTTCGATATTGCCGTCTATGAGTCTCTTGCATCCATTGGTCCCAAAAATGTGCATGCGCATCTCTCCTATCTTGATAACTCTCACAGGTTGCGAGATATCGCACAAGCGGCTGAGGAGCTGCGTACAGATACGAACACGTGGAGGTCTGTTGATGCTGCCATCCATCTTGACTACAATCGGCAGCGACAAAGTCAATTCCAAACTTTTGAGGATTATCGCCGGAAAGTGCTGCAACAGAGTTCTGTTCGTGAGATGTTACGAGAGTTTC